GTAATGACGAAGTAATATACAAATTTCCAATTTGCATTTTTACAAGTTAGAATGAGCAATGTCCAAATTTTTAATTTGCACATTAACTCACAAAGCTTCCTCTACGAGGAAGCCAAATTTGAATAGACAACTTGCCAAAATGTTAATGTTACATTTTGCAAATTTCCAATTTGCACCTTATATTAAAAAACAACTTGCCAAAATGCTGATGCTACGTTTTGCAAATTTAAAATTTGCACCTTTAAGATAAAAAAATAGTCCAGATGTTGAAGAAGCAATATGCAAATTTCCAATTTGCATCTTTAAAATAAAAAAAAATTGAATAGACAACTTGCCAAAATGCTGATGTTGCATTTTGCAAATTTCCAATTTGCTCCTTTAAAATTAAAAAAAGGCTACATGATGAGGAAGCAATGTGCAAATTTCCAATTTGCACCTTTTTTCAAATGCAATTCGCATTTTTCTGATGCTATATTTAGCATTCAATCCCCTCCCCCCCATTTTCTCGTCCTGTAAATTAATTTTATTGCGAAAAATATTACCCCAACCAGGATTCGAAATTAATTTACAGGACGGGAAAATGGGGGGGGAGGGAGGGGATTGAATGCTAAATATAGCATCAGAAAAATGCGAATTGCATTTGAAAAATAATCATCGAATCGAATACGTGAATCTGCTGACGACAATATTTCCACGTATATGATAAACTGCGTTATGTCCGGAAAAGAAATCGGCGCGTAGTACTAATGTGGAAAGAAACGGTATATAGATTCACGATTTTCAGTAAGATTTAAGATTTGCAAGTTGGGCTACCTACATCTTGCCTTGTGACCCACATTGGCTTGTTACCATATATTGTTTAGTTTTAGATAGGGGTCTTACTTGAAAGTTACTTGTTCATTAACAATTTATTTCAGATAGATGAGATTCTAAGTATTCTTAGATTAACTGGAGCACGAAATACAGTCACAGACAAATTGTCTGGTGGTGAAAAAAGGAGGCTAACAATTGCACTCGAGCTTGTAAATAATCCACCTGTCATTTTCCTCGATGAACCGACTTCGTAAGTGTCAATCAGATCGAGTAAAAAAGATTATCTTCATTTTTTAATTATACATATGTACATTACTTCAGTTTAATAATGTTTTATTTATCAGATAATCATATTATTTCACATAGTGTATGTATAATAATTATATACATGTATGTATATATACACATACACACGTGTGCGTGCGGATGCATGCGCGCGCGTACTTGTACAGGGTGTCTCATTTTTACTGATCCACGCTAATATCTAAAAAAATATGAAAGATACGGAAAAACGTTTCAAACAAAAGTTGTTTGAAACGTTTCTGGTTTGGTTCGAAGGGAGATATAAGGTGGTGCCATTGACTTGACCTTGGATAATCATTTGAAGGTCACATGAAGGTCACCTTCAACTTTTTAAATGGATATTTAAATTGTTTATTATACTATCTTATTTTACTAATTACTACGAACAACTATTGTCTGAAAAATTTTTTTCGATTTGCCCAATACTTTTTGAGATGTTCAAGAGAAAATTTATAACTTTTTTAACGTTTAGCTTATGATATCTCGATAATTGTCTGTCGGAGGAAAAAGTAGTACAGGACTTTTTCATTTGATTTAGTCTCAGGAATATGCTGCTGCAATAGCGCTCCAATTATGGAAAATTTTTGTGTATTGAACATCCACAAAATTTACATACACAAAAATTTTCAATAATTAGAGCACTATTGCAACACCATATTCCTGATACCAAATCAAGTAAAAAAGTACTGTATTACTTTTCCCTCCGACAAACAGTTATCAAGATATCATAAGCTAAACATCGAAAAAGTTACCAATTTTCTCTTGAATATCTCGAAAAGTAATAGGCAAATCAAAAAATATTGCAAACAAAGTTGTTCATATTAATTAGTGGAATAAGATAGTATAATAAACAATAGGGAGTTTTCACGTGGCCTTCAAATGACTATCCAAGGTCAAGTCAATGGCACCACCTTATGTCCCCCTTCAAATCAAACAACTTTTGTTTGAAACGTATTTCTGTATCTTTCATATTTGTGAAGATATTTGCATGGATCATTTAGAATGAGACACCTCGATAACTAAAAAAAACGGTAGTTTCACAGTTAACGATAAGAACTGATTGTGAGTAATATGTAGAGAAAAAAAATTAATCATCAAGTTACTTTATATCTTTTTTTTTACTGTACCACCGAGGAGTTATCTCTTTATTCATCATCGCGCAAGTGTGTAAAAAAGAAGTGTAATAGAGAAATTTTTTAAACTCTTGTTTTTTACCAATGTATAAAAAATCACTATGCATTCTTCTGTGCATGAAATCTCAAACGTCACATATCTCAATATACTAAAAATGTGAATCTGTAAAAATCTAAAACGTAGAAAATTGTCAGTTTATTGTGAATCTATTATTTATTTCTAAAATCGTGATATAATTCGTTGAATTTTTATATCCTGTTTGCATTACTATCCTCATAGTTATTAATTGCCGTTCAGAATTAAACTTTGGTAATGGTAGAGCATTCTATCTTAATTCTCTGCGTCGAACTATGGAAGCCTTATATCCATAATAACATATCTTTGGGGAGATAGGCACTAAGATTCGCTGTTTAATATTTTTTTGGCGAGAAAAATAACGAACTAGGACTAGACCAGGATTTAAACCTGTGGCCTTCCGCTTGCCCGGCAACTTCCTACACTGTCAATGAAAGATCCATTTTGTTTAATAAAATAAAATTTTTGTTGAATCAGTTAAATCTCTTGTCTGGATATGGACAAATCCTTCAGTTATTGCAACAGAAATATTTAATTGAAATACTTAATAATACTAACACACGCCATCACTTAAATTAGGTTTAGTGAACAAAATTATTAATTGTATAAAATCAAATTTTGTATTGGTCTTTATTTAGTGAGCAATGTTGAAAGAAAGAGCTCTTTAAGAAGTTTTTGCGAAGACCATATTAAAAATCACTTAAAAATTATATCAATAAATTATCTTTTTATAAGAGGTCTTTCATAAGAATTTTTTATGATGTCTTACTTGTGACATGTATTTAATGTCAACGTGGAAAGCCTGTCAAAGTTTTTGCTAGATGGACGCGTGGCACTTTTTCATAATAAGAAAACCACACGTGGTGTTATAAGTTGATACACCTGTATGAAATTTATCTTTCCTCTGATGTTAAAGCGAGCTCCTTTATTACGAGCTCTTGCCTATACACTCGTAGACAAAAATGTTATTTTGTTTTTGTAATAAAAGATTTACATTTTTTAGAAGCTTTATATGAAGTAACATTAATAGCAATTCTTAACGTCGTCATTATGACATTTATAAGAAGTCAGATTTTAGTATTCTAGTATACTTTGAGATGTCATTTTTATGATGCCTTTTTTTCTCTAAAATTGACACATTAGAGGATTTATTGTCATCATTATGGCATTGTTAAACATTCTATTCTCAAAATTGAATACTTAACGAGCTCTTTTTTATATTATATTGCTCATTGAGTACTTAAACTTTGTCCACTGAAACATATTTGTACACAAACAGGCAGGAATGCCTGATGTACACTTCTATAATGTATTCTATAATTATATGGATGTCCAATTGCATATGTGTAAATCTGTGAAAATCTCACGTGGAGATGCTATCAGACTCCATTCTCACAGAGTACTGTTATCGCAAAAACAATGTTATCATAAAAGGAGATCTCTCTTTTTTCAGCGGGTTGGACGACTTCTCCTCTGTCAAGTGCATTGATATTCTCAAAAGATTGGCGAATTTAGGGAGGACTGTTGTGTGCGCAATACACTCGCCTAGCGCGAGCGCATTTCTTAAATTTGATCACGTCTACGTTTTGACAAACGGACAATGCATTTACAGAGACACCGCGAGCAATGTGGTACCGTTCTTGCGAGACGTAGGCCTAGAATGCCCGAAATCTTACAGTCCTGCGGATTTCAGTAAGTTACGTGTAATCTCGTATGCAAAAATTCTATCGTCTATGCAATCACATTTCTTGCCTCGCGATGCAACCTGTGCGAGTTAGCAACAGACATTTGAAGAATGGGAATTAAAATGTGAAATATAGCCATCTGCTACAATATAATATAAACTATTGCTAAGCATTATTTCATGATATGCGTATAATTTATTTGCATTATTGAGTAATATAGGCTAACTCTGTAGAACTCCGAGATTTTTTTTCATAAAGGATGCAAAAAGAGGATATATTATAAGAAGCAAGAAATAATGATTTTATTTTTTAGAATTAGTGATTGCTTGATTAATTACACATGAATAGATTTTTCAATCAAGCTCCGAGATTTTTTCAATAAATAATGTAAAGGAGATTATGAGAATTAATTATCTATAACTTAATATTTAAGTTTTGGAAATTAATTAATTAAAACTTTATACGGAGTTCGATTTGAATAAAAAAACAATTACATTAACAAAGTTACATTAACACCGAATATTCATTTCAGTAATAGAAATTGCATCGGGTGAATATGGTTTCGACCTGACTGAACAGATGGCTACATATGTAAACACGAATCTACCCTTGCTTTCAATTTTGCAATTAAAGAGCGAATTTGATTTCGAGAAAAACATTCCAAAAATCTCATGGGTCTATCAATTCAACACGTTAGTGAAAAGAATGATGACGCAGTTGTACCGAAACAGAGTAAGATCGACGTATTTTCACATCTATGGTCGATATTTATAGCCAGATCTTATATTCAAGACCGCCTTGAATTTATCTAAAAATGCTGTATGGAATATTTCCATTGACTATGGAGTGTCTAAAGATGATTTTAAGCCTTGAATATAAGATCTGACTATGAATACCGACCTATCCAGATAGAAAAATATTAGCAAATTGGCATCAGATTGGTAGCATATTCATCAGGAACACATACCAAAACCATAGCCATCTGTGGCTGCCTTTGGCTTTTGTTTTGGCAACAGAGCCTGTAAAACATACATTGTCAACAGATTGTCGACAGAAATCGAACGGGTCCCGTTATGTGAGCAGATTGTGTTGTATTTCTGCTGACATGCTGCCAACATGTCGAACATATAATATCAGTTCCTGTATGAAATCTGCAGTCTTTCTGTCTTCAAAATTTGTAGTGGGCATTTGACGAAATCTGTTCTGACAGATTTGACCGTCTGGGTATGTTTGGGAAAATAATGCACACTTTAGTTAATGACAATACATGGTAACTTAACATGATACATAAGAACATTACGATGATCTAGTCCGGCAAATGGCGAATACTCACACATGACGCGTGCTAGCAATAATTTCTCACAAATTTTTGAAGTATTCCTAGTACTGAATCGCAAAGTATTTACTATAATAAACTTCTAAGGAATACTACAAAACGGACTGATTGTAATTAATTCTTCCAGAATTCTTCAGATATTCATTTTTCTACTTCTGTAGGTATTCTTTAAAACAAATTCTTTAAGAACTTATGTTCACCTTTGTGCTATCTGGGAATATATTTGTAGATGAAAAGAAAATATAATATACATAAACATTTTTTTGCGGAGAATGAGCTAACAAAGTTATAAGATATTTGAATGGATTTTATTATAGATCTTTTCTGAAATTAGTTGCATATAAAGATGAGTAAAGAGTTTTTTATGTGTTCACAGAATTATTTGTACTTGAAGATATGGGTACTTATCTTTTTGGGGACAGTGAATGGCTTATTATTTTGGAACATAGGCAACGATGCCACCAAATCCCTTTTCAATTTTGGCTTTTGCTTCGGATGCCTGATATATTTTCTGTATATACCTTTGCTACCGGTGCTACAGCAGTGTAAGGAAAAATTCTTGTCTACATGTAAAGAAATTAAAGATGATATATAAGAAAATAAAACTTAGTTTCTTAATTGATCAAAATTTTGTGTGTTGCTGATTTTGCCGTGATATGACCGGTGTGAATCTAGCGCCCAACTTAAAAAATTATTTTTAAATTATGTTATATATATACAGGGTGTCTCATTTTTAATGATCCATGCAAATATCTCCAAAAATATGAAAGATACGGACAAACGTTACTATGCAAGGTCAAGTCAATGGCACTACCTTATGTCCCCCTTCGAACCGAACAACTTTTGTTTGAAACGTTTTTCCGTATCTTTCATATTTTTTGAGATATTTACGTGGATCATTTAAAATGAGACACCCTGTATATATTTCATTGTTATTTATTATTTTCTCGTTACAGTTCCTACAGATGTTAAAATGATGGAACATGAACACTTCAATGGATGGTATAATCTTAGCCCATATTATTGGGCTTTTACAGTAATCAGTATTCCTTTACAGGTTGGTCTTCTCTATAAATTGTTTATATATATTGTGGATATATTTTATATAGCAGAATTTTTTTCTTTGAATAACTTCCGAATGAAATCTTTAGTTTTCTGGGCAAGAAATTGTTCCATGTGAATTATAGCTCCTGGTCTCATTATAGTTTCTATTGGAAGAGCTAGAACTTTTTAACAAAATGATTACGTTTCATTATTTTACATTAGATCTTCTGCTTGATCCTGATCAGCTTATTTATCCAAGCGTTGTAAGAATTATTCTTGGTCTTTTCCCAGATAATTTTTGCAATTTGCTATCTCACAATGGTCTACTTGATTACGGGACAACCCCTGGAGTTGTATAGAAGTTCCATGTTCTTTGGCACTTGCTTTGTTGTTGGTTTCATCTCGGAGAGCATAGGACATACCATTGGCAGCATATTTGACACTGTAGTATGTTCAAGATTGCATCGAAAATATAGCACGAGAAGAAAAACTTTCCTAAGATTAACAAATATCTAATTTGTATTGTCTTTTAACAGAATAGTTTAATTATGGGATCCGTAATAAGTTGTCCCTTAATATTAGTTGCAATGCAAGATTTCGGTATCCAAAATACTGATCCTCGACCAATTTTACGGACAATTTTAATGTATACGAGTTACCTTCGGTATGGAATGGAGGGTCTCACGACGGCTATATATGGACGTGGTAGACAAAAAATACCTTGCCCAGCGGGAGAAGTTTACTGTCATTTCACCTCGCCTAAGGAAATTGTGCAAATTATGGGTAGGAATATAATGACTAGATATCTCAAAGATCGCGTACAGTCGCTCTGGTATCCATTTAAGGTGTTACACACACCGCATGTGTTTTCTTTACTAATGATTTTCTGTATACTTTATATCTCAATAATAATCTGTAAACGAATTTATCTGTGTTCCAGGCATGGAGAGATCTCTCGATTTCGGGATGGACATATGTGCTCTATTTATCATTTTATTTATTTGTAAGGGGATGACGTATTATTTCTTGAAGCAAAAAGTGCAACCAAACAAAACTTTCCAGATGTTTCAGGTAATGGGAGACGTATTGAAGAGCTATTTCAACATATAATGTTAACTATGCTTAATTTTTGCTCGTATTATGATGTGTCGGCGTTATACACATTGCTCGATACTCTCTAAATAATTAATTCCAGAAACATATTTGCAACGAAATTACAAAATTGTCGGTACAACAATATGTGAAACGTAGTATTAAATGTAACTTAAACAAAAAGAAAAAAAGTAGAATAATTTGTACAAAAATCCATTAGACAAATTTTTTGCTAAATAAAAAAAGTTAAATTATGTGCTCTTATTTCTGTCACCATACTGTCAAAAGTAACATATATGTATAGATATTGCGTCAAGGTAAGTGCGAGATGAGATAAAATATTTCTATATAGTTGTAAAAATGTGTATCAAAGTTTTTAACAAAGAGATTGAATAATGAGGCAAATGATATGATATAAATTATCACAACTGTTAAACCATTTGGTGGAAAACTATAAAACTTGGCACAAATTAGTAACAATTAAAAAATAAAAGAATGGTATATCCAAGAAAAGTTTGTGAATGCTTATATCAAAAATTTCTACCAAAAGGCAAGATGAGCCTCCAGTCGCGAAAAGCCACTGTCATCCACTTCTTCGTAGTCTCTTATTGATTCGTAGTTACGTCACTAGAAATTTTTCACTTTCCTTGAAAAAATATACCTTAAAAATTTTTTAATTTTATGTATTTTCTTCATGAAGATAAACGTAAGAGACCATTAAATTAAGTTAAATTCTTCATTAAGGTTTTGTATAAAGTGTTTTGTAAATTCTCTTTATGTGCATATCTCCACACTTGCATCGCGAGTTAGCCGCATCCTCTTTCTGGCATCACTAGTTATAAACAAATTACAACCTTTTTTTATAGTTCTCATTAAATGACGATAAATGATCACTGTATACAACTAAGCTAATAGATTTTTTTCGGAAAATTTTCTAAACTAATGTACATTAGTGTAATAAGTTAGGGTAAAACAAACTATATTTGTCTCGTTCCAACTTATTGCATCAGTGTATACTACACCCTAGTGGCACAGTGCATTGGCAACAACATTGGCTAAACATTATAACATAAACATCCGATGTTATGCGGGTAAGAATAAATTTCTTTTTCGAAGACTTTTCTATGTTGAATGTCCGGTTTTAAAGCGCATTATCTCAGTGTGCATGTCATGAGGATGCGTCTGTTGCAAGGGGCATGCTCCACAATAACGAGGAGAGATAGTTCGTGAGCCAACAGATGTCTGAATCAGTCTACCGTGGTTGCTGGTAGCGGTACGAGCTTCGCCGCGCTTGCGGTTTCTCTATCGCAGTAGTGTGATCGTGGCAATTAGCGAACAAGGTAAGTTCCGTGAATCAACACCACCAAATTACACTTTGCATATTGCGAGTAAATAACTATAGTTTTTTCCTGTTTCATTAAAAATCTGTTTTTAGACCGATAAATAATTGATGTACAGTTTACTGCGTTGGTAAAAGTATATAAAATTTGCACAGAAATATTGTTATTAAGCTACCAAGATCCAGTACGAAAAATAGCACCTTTTCCATTAAATTGTATTAGGTTCATATTGATTATACCTTACTTATATATTTTTTACTTGCTCATAGAAGAAACTTTGTTTTCGAGAAAAAAATCTTTTTGCATTTTTTCAGTGCCAATTGGTTTAGAATGTTTCCACACATACACACACACACACACACGCACACACACAAACATCGAAAAATACAATTTTAAGAAAATATCTGTGGCTATGTGATTAACTTGTCCGCTCTCTAACTTCCGTAAATGTTGAGATATTGAATTCCACCTGTGCATATACTTAGTTTGCTAATATACGACGGCTGTTGTTGAATTGAATTAAGTCAATTATTATTTAAAGAACATTATTTAAAAAACAAAAATATTAGAAAAAGGTGCAAATTGGAAATTTGCACTTTACTTCCTCACCTGGCCAAGTTGTTTCTTTAATTTTAAAGATGTAAAGTAGAAATTTGCACATTGTTTTCTCATTATCTGAAAAAGTTGTTTTTTTTTCAATTTTGGCTTCCTCATAGAGAAAACTTTGCGCGCAAATTAAAATTCGACAGAAGCAATTTTCAATTTCTATCTTAACCTACAAAGCTTTCTCTGTGAGAAAGCCAAAATAAAAAAAAAACAATTTGCCTAGATCATGAGAAAGCACCGTGCAAATTTGCACCTTTAAAATTAAATAAACAACTTGGCCAGATGGGGAAGCAAAGTGCAAATTTTCAATTTGTTTATTTAACTTCAACTGAACTTAAGTGGAATTTAAAAGCTAGTTACGCAGATAAAGTTAATTATACTATGTCAAAAGATGGAAGAATAAAAAAATTCGTAGGCACAGGAAGGAGCGTCAAACTCATTAAACTTTGCATGCAATTTTACATAAAAAACTTAATAAACAACTAAAAGATGTATGATTGCATAGACCGTACATCCTATCGTCGTTTAATGCACAAGAAAAGGCTCATGCACGAGCGCGCGCGCAAGATATGTGGCTGCGTGTGCGTTGCATGTGCGCGGCGCGCGGCGTGTGCCTGCGTGCGTGCGTGCGTACGCGCGCGCGCGTGTGTGTGTGTTTATTAGCTGCAATTTACCGTCACGAACACGTGATTAAATGCTCGCACGGCTGAAGTTCAATGCGCTACATACTTGTATGATTTCCGTAAAGTCCGTGTCACACTATGGATTAGAATTCGACGGGTGCTATGAATAACCGTGTAACTCAGCGTTTCGTTCACAAACTATCGTAACTCCCCAGTCCATCAGTAAAACAACGTAACTTCCCCGGTAATTTATAAAACATCGTATCTCGCAAAGGCCTTCGTAAATCAATGTATTTCCTGATTATCTATATAGATAAAACCACGTAACTCTATATTTTTGGATATTTTGAGATAATATTATATCTATTATATATATGGAAAGTTATTTATTGTCGTAATATAAAAGGCTTTATAAAACAATACAATTTGTAATTCATTAAAAAAAAATAATTTCCCATATTATCTTAAATTTGCCGTATATTTCCGAGTAAAAACATCGTGATAATTCGCACGTGTAATCGTCGTAGAACACTTCAAAAGCAACAAAAACTGAGAATGAAAAAAAGGGAAAAATCTGTTTTTTTTTTAAAAGGAGGTATTGTAAAAACTTTAACACACATGCTGGCATAACTCACGAATATAAAGAAACGCTCTGAAAAATTCTGTTCACTTGTCGAAAGGAGAACATGAGGATATTCAAGACTGTTATTTTCTCCTGCCTAATGTAACATGATCTCGCTTTTAAGCACGCGAGATTTAGTTTTTCTTCTAAGTTACGTTAATATTTCGTTCCTCTGTCCGTTTGGTTTCAGTTTGGAATTATTTTCCCGCTGATGCAGATTTATCGCACCGCGGGAGAAAGTCTCGTGTAATAGCAAACGCCAGCTGAAGATAAACCGTTCACTCCGGTGTGAAAAAATCATCATGGATCCTACTTCAGAAAACAACGTGAATGGAGTCGGTAACGGCATCCACAAGAGTATGAAAGATACCTTGGACAACGGCAACGGCACTATGTCGCATCTCTCCAGAATGGCTGCGGTGGACATCGAATTCAACGATGTGACATATTCAGTGAAGACTGGTCCAAAAGGTAACAAATTGTTTTTTAAGAATTAATAAAATTTATAAGGCCTATATCTAATAAACACAAGGAATATATAGGATTGAAGGCCAAAATAGTATGTTAATGTTTAAATAATTTATTTTAAATTTATTGCGAATATTACCTCAGCCAGGATTTGAATCTGGACCTCCCTCTCTCCAGTGATAAATGACTCGTCGATCAACGGCGACACAATGTCAAATTGTTTCAACGAATCATTTCTCCCTGGGTTACTAGACGGGCGTCTCACCAATTCGATCATCGAGATATGTGATAATATTTATCGCAATAAACAGTCTAATGTTGTTTTCCAATGCCAGATGTCGTAGCTGTATTCAAAACTAGAACTGTGCACCGACTTAAATCGTCAGGCTAAAAATACTGCGATACGGCACAGACTTTTTCCTGGGAATCCGGTTTCGAAATCTCACGAATTATTTTTACAATTATCGATAAAATGAACAAGTTTCATAACATACACTCGTGTTGATGCATTATGCGGTATCTAAAAGGAAAACATTGCGTTTCTGGTGTCTTCTTCACAAAATTATTTATCCTGTACCCTAAAGAATCGTAGATCGTAGCTCGATTTATACCGGATATAATAATTGAAACAACTCGATTACACTCACTATACCATCCAGAATACTTATTTCCGCTAAGAGTACACTAATTATACGAAACACGCACTCTTCCTGAAGTTATGTGCTTATCAATAAATATTTTGATTCACTAATAATGTAATTAAAAAATAGCATCCCGCAATTTGTATGATACGCTCTCACAGCAACATTTTCCGGCATGCAGTATTTTTTTATATACATGCCTGCCAAACTGCTATTCTTTCATAGTATAATTTTTTGTAAATTGCAACTGCTTGAAAATATATTTTGCAAATCGTTTGAATCATCATGATAATAATTATATAATTAAAAATTACCATTACTATAATTGCTTTTCACAAGTATAATTATTTTATGTGATAAGACAATGATTGAAGCGTGCGAACAATATGTAATTGAAAGACACATTACGTAGCAAGTGGTACATAGTATGAAACTGTAATTATCGCAGTCGTCATTTAATTGGCGAATAATAAGTTGTTTGAATAAAGTGTAGTATAATTTTCAATTTACAACGTAAAAATATTTTTACTCTTTACGTGCACATCTTGTTTTAGCGGTTTATAATCGCCGAGATACATTATTTGTACTATTTTACAATATAATTAAATCAAGTGGCGATCGTGGCACAGAGGATTGTGCGCTGGTCTGGTAATCCAAAGACCCGGGTTCAAAACCAAACAAAAACGTTGTTGGTTTTTCGTTCGATCGCCACATAGCGATGTGGATATAGAGAGAGGTGTTATAAGAGGTTTGGGCACGTTCCTTCAAAAACGCCTTGTAACCCTAAGGGGAATCAATAAAATGTACTAGTACTAGTACAGAGCTTTATCTACAAGTGATTATCAATGAAAATTCGATGAGAATATTACTTTACAAATAAAAGTGATTTTCTTAATAATATTAACTCAAGTTTCTCTGTGTTGCAACTTTAAATTAATTTAGAACTAATTTCCAAAAATATTCCTTTTAAAAATAAATAATTATTTGAAAATTCTTGTTATCCGTTACAGTTCACGAGTTAATGTAGCGATGGATTAACATGTCTTGATGTTTCCATTCAAATACTTCGAAAATACAATTTATTCGTAGAATTCTTGATCAATGTTGTCTCTTAAAAGTATGGTAAGATATACGTAAAGAGGATTATCATGTTGAGTTGATTGTGATTTCAAAGGTTTAAAGTTCTTTTAATTCAAACTACGGCGAACGAGCAAACAGAATTTAATTACAATTCTTGATTAAATAAAGTAATCATAAGTTAGTCATAATTTAGAATATTTAGAATATTTTAAATAATTTAAATCATACATCACGTATGAAACATACATTACTTGCGTCATGGTGATATTGAATTTTTCTTAAAATATAAACTTTGTAAGTCTTGCAAAAAGTCTTGCAAAAAGTACATATAATGTAGAGATATATAGAAACCTACCAGTGAAAAAATTTTTTATAATAATAATACATTATACATAACTATATACAGGATGGCCCCAATCGTTCCGGCCAGACTGTGAGCATAATTTTTGTAGCTACGTGTGAAGAAACGTAAAATCGCGGTCATCCATCCAAGTTTTAACCATTACTCAACGTTGCTCAACCTCAATAATCTGATAGACTACCGGTGATAGGCTCTGGCCTCTGACTTCCTTCTTGATGTAATATACATGTATACATGTATACACTTATTTATCTCATCTGACTCTCATATCCATCTGAAAAGTTTGGACATGAACCATAGCTTGTGTACCGTTACCAAGTGAACGGACGTAGTTGACATCCGTCTTGTCAGGGGGTGCATCTGTTTCTGAGCTAGTAGATTTCCGGTGGTCGCTCTCAGGTTTCTCTCTATTATAGTAGTTATTACAACTTTTTACCATAAAAGATGGATTACCGACCGCAACTGTAGTTAACCGAGCGGTTTATAGATACTCGTATTAGCTGCAGAGATCGATCTGCTGTAGAGGCAAATAAGAATAACTGAATCAAATAATCTGTTGCATACTATACATACATTTCTGATAAATAATATGTATGTCCAACTATCTTATGCGTTTTATTTTTTACACGGATATGTATAGTAACGTAATTTCTTAATTATCACTATGTATCTATCGCGTAGAAAGAAATAATTTTCGGTATTTTCGTTTTCAATAATGATATTTTATTAAAATTCCTCATTTGGTGACATATTCTTTTCACGCTTATGTGGAAGAACGTTTTAACACGTAAAAGAAGAGTTCCCAGCAAACACCAAAGTAACAATTACATAACATCAATGCAAATGTAATACAATATAACAGGCATGTGTTACATTTATATTGATGTTATGTAACTGTTACTTTGGCGTTTACTGGGTTGGATCTAAAGCGTTAGAAATTACACATGCAAAAAGATTAATGCTATTATTATTCTTATCAAAGGTTGCGTCGTTGTACAAAAAATATTTTACTGTACATACTTATTAACTTTATATTCTTTAAGTATGGTATGTTCTGTTGACGAAACATGCAGATCGTTGCCAATTAGTGTAGACTGTAGACAGTCTCATTAAAACGTATGTTTCAATGTTTTGTCATGCCGATGCCGGTCTATGTCGTATACTCTGATTTGTACTTCTGTAAATGCGTTTCAATTAATTATTTATAATCAAGTACATTATACGCACTCGAGTTTTTTCTTGTTCTTGACAAAACACTTCGATAAGATTAAGAATGCTAAAGCAGAAAAAATAACGTTTTTATGACCAAGTGATACCAATGATATTGCGAATGAGTTCAAAAAGATGTGCAAAGGATATTTTCATCTCTGATATCTTTTATCTCTAATATGTCTTATAAACTAATGGTAATAACGCATAGTTTCATCTCCTAATCTTACTAATGAATTCTAGTAATTAACTCAAATAATGAATGCTGCTACTAAAAAATAGTGTTTCATTATCTTACTATTAATTTTCGTTGTGTATCTGGCAACACATTGTCTTGAACATCAAATTTTCAATACGTAAATTACAAAAAATTATTCATGTCTATAATGCTTATCTTTTCGTTAAATTTACAGAATTTAAGATGCTTCTGAAGGGAGTTAGTGGGCAATTTAAATCGGGTGAACTTACGGTAATTCTAGGTCCTTCTGGTGCCGGAAAATCGACGCTACTCAACGTTCTTGCAGGATACAGGTCAGTATAATCGTGAATCCTAATAATTCTTTAATCGTCTAGCGGGTTAAATTGACTAATTTTATTATCCTCGCGTTGTCATTTATTTAAGCATAATTAAATGTTTACGAAAAATCGGCCTCTGCATAATGTGATGTAATTTTAATACTATAATTCGCAGTAGTTATCGAATACTTTATTGAAACGTCTGAACGAATGAGCGTGTGGAAAGCGATGGGCCGGGCTCGAAATTCATGCAAAGCTCTGTTCGTGAAGAATTTCAATGATTGTTGACCTCTAAATCAACCCGTGACACAATGGTTGAATAATCAATGATATTAAAATTAACATAATACTTTACATCAGGTTGCATCCTATGTAGGGTTGAACGTCGCACGCGACAAAAAGCTTACCAACGCGTCATAAAAACGTGCAATGTCTTTTCCTCTCTCTTTCAATATGGAAATAAACTGAAATAAAGCTGCTCCGTTACAGATGCATGGACATAGGTGGGTCGATACGTATCAATGGACAACTGCGAGACGTGCAGAAATTTAAGAAGATGTCGCGTTACATCATGCAAGACAATATGACACAACCAAATCTTACTGTTTTCGAGGCAATGTCCTTTGCCGCCGACTTTAAGCTCGGCAAGAGGAAATCAAGGTTACAGAAACGCGCTGCTGTAAGTAGAGATCATAGCCTTATATCATATCATATATTGGAAGATAAATGAATAACAACAAAAATATTTGAGTTATAATAAATTTAAAAAAAATTTACGTAATACGTCAGACTATTGTAAGACTAGAAGCGGCTAGTATTAAAAAGTTACGTGGCATTAGAATAAAAGCATCTTTTGTGCTGCGCAAATCGCAAAATAGATCACTGAGATACATTTTACAAAATATTAACAATTTATTTCAGATAAATGAGATTCTAAGTATTCTTAGATTAACTGGAACACAAAATACAGTCACAGACAAATTGTCTGGTGGTGAAAAAAAGAGGCTAACAATTGCACTCGAGCTTGTAAATAATCCGCCTGTTATTTTTCTCGATGAACCGACTTGGTAAGTGTTAATCAGATCGATTAAAATTGATTATCTTAATGTTATACAGAGTGAGGAAAAAGTATGAAAACCCCTACATTTTTCGGAAACTATGCATTTTAGAAACAAATGTTTTAGATAAAAGTTGTAGGATTTCAATTGAATTACTTAACGCATTACATAGCAACATCAGTATAACCTTGAAGAGTGTGTCATGGTAACGTAAAATTGACCCTAAAATTTTTTAATGGAGATCCCCATTTTTTATTGCATATTTTATAGCTTATTTTGAAAGCTCTTTGAGAGCGCTATAATAAAGTATATTTTCATTAAGCACTTTCTGAGTTATAAAGCTTGAATGCAACAGTACCGCTGGTATTAGCATTATTCAAATTATATCACGTAGAGGTTGCTCGGTCGGACCTCTTTTGTGATGTATATATGTTGTGTAACAAATAATCCTTCCACGATCTTGCCTTAGCCGGCCGGATCCTCTCAACGACAGGTTGTTCTTACAATTAGAGTAGGTAAATACAAAACGACCACGGTCTCTAATAAGATAATATGTAATAAACAGGGCGTGTCTTAGAGGAAGTGGATAATAAAACACGCTGCTTAATAACTGTTCGGTAAGAAAAATAACGGGCTAGGATTATTAAACTAGAATGCATTCAAAGAAGAAGAAGGAAACATGAAAGACTCTCAAGAGACCGTCCATCCATCATAAAGTAAAAGCTAATAAATACAGTGCATAAGTATCTTAGTTTCCATCCGACACTAACAAGATTTAAAAAGCAAGTTGTACGTCAATAGAAATGCATCGAAAAGCCCCTACAGGCAATGTTAAAATTTATAAATAATATTACGAGGATAGATTGAAAAGTTTCTGAAATAACAATGAAAACAAACATTTTATTGAAATTATACTTTACCACCTTAAAAAAATTAACCTTTACAAAAAAGTAAAAAAAGGCGCCAAGTATAAATGCCATCCAATCAAGAATTATATAATTTTATTAGTTGGATATATTTTTCTACAAAAAAGACATTTCTACCTTCTTTACAAAAGTATCTTCTCTACAAAAGTAATGATATCAATAAGTTGCGCCAACTAAAATATATATTTATATAAACTAAATACTTTATTACTTTTTAGAGACTTTATATTAAAATGTTATATCCAAAAAAATTGAGCATAAGATTTTACCAGAAGAAATAAAGGAGATAATCTTCCAGAAACATTTCAGAAACGTTTCAACATTACATATTGCAATGTAATACTGCAGCGACGGTTTAGAGGCATGCAGTTGTAATCTTTCAGCCGAAATGTTTCAGTAACGTTGTAGAACTACATATTAGAAAGTTTGCAAAATATATCTCAATAGCCATTAAGAAATGTATAGCAACGTCACTTTCAATCACGTGATTTCTGATATTGCCGGTAATGATGCAAACTCTGGGCTTCTAGCCTCTTACGTAATATTCTTTTTTAAACTTTATATCATTTTTAATGTTGAGAGAACTATATGTTATTGTACACTGAGTTATATTGTAAACCGAGAATTACATGAGTTCCCGATAAAAAATTTTTCATGCATAATCATCTATAAATATATATAAGGTGTCATGCAATAGCCGAATCCGCTGGAAAATTTAGATAGAGCGAGGCAAACTGAATCGAAAAGTCCTATATCATTTTGCAAAATGTAGAATAGTTTTTGAATAATAGATAAAAACGTCTGAACGAATAAGTGCACGATAAACCAGTAGGCTGGACTCGGCTGACATTATACAAATAGCTTATTTATTTAGTTTCGTAACGGTGAGGGACGAGATGTTATTAAACTCTGTTCTCGGAGAGTCTTATCACAAAAACATCATTAAAGGAGATTTCTCTTTTTTCAGCGGACTGGACAACCTCTCCTCTACCAAGTGCGTTGATATTCTCAAGAGATTGGCGCATTTAGGGAGGACTGTTGTGTGCTCAATGCACACGCCTAGCGCAAGCGCATTTAATAAATTCGATCACGTCTACATCTTGACAAACGGACAATGCGTTTACAGGGACACCGCGAGCAACGTGGTGCCGTTCATGCGAGACGTGGGCCTAGAATGCCCGAAACATTACAGTCCTGCGGATTTCAGTAAGTTACATGTAATCTCGTATGCAAAAATTCTGTCGGCCGCTCTCAAAAATGTTTAGAGCGAAATTTTCACTCGAATCATAGTGTTACTGACCACTTTACTCTATTCGAGTAAATATTTACTCCAAGAGTAAGACAAAAAGTGAAGGATTTCACATTTATTTTTAACGTAAAGTTGCTATCACTCCAAAATTCACTCCAACTTAAAGTACGGTATTCCGCCACTAGATGGCCGCCGTACTCGTAAGTAACTATTTGGAACTTCGTGACTTCTTTTCATAAATGATGCGAAGAGAGATCTGACACCCTGTATATTATATTCACCTTTGTCACCAGTTCTTATTTTACTGTTCATCGTTAACATCCTCCTGCCGTTCAAGTGAGTCTCCATAACACTCTTTTAATTAATTTCTTTGATGTGAATTTGAATAAAAAATGGTTTTTTACTAACTCTTTATGGCACTCAACATTTGGAGACTTCCGAACGATAGAGGATGGTTTATGTTGACAGTTATTTAGCTCTAATAATTTTTCACACACATCTAACTCTCTTCAGTAGGTAATTTATTTACATCTATAATTTATATCTGTCAGTTGTATTTTTATGTTAGTTTTTATCATTTATTTATTAATGTTTTGATCGTAGTTTTCACTGAGAATGACCTGAAAAAGGGTCGAAACGTTTGATCAATAAAGAAGAATCCTATATTTTGGAAACCACTTGACTTCTGCGTCTGTGGCTCGTATTAGTCCTTTCTCTTCACCACACAATTTTTTAACATTGAATATTCGTTTCAGTAATAGAAATGGCATCGGATGAACATGATTTCGATCTGATCGAACGGATGGTTGCATGCGTAAACACGAATCTACCTTTGGTTCCGATTTTGCAATCAAAGAGCGAAATTGATTTCGACAAAAACAATCCAAAAATCTCATGGATCTATCAATTCAATACGTCAGTAAGAAGAATGATGACGCAGTTGTACCGAAACAGAGTAAGATCGATGTATTTTCATATCCATGTGTATTTTGAACTTCCAGATAGTCAAATTTATCGGAAATAAATTTTATAAAATGATTGCTATAGATTATGTTGATCTAATATTAACAGAAATATAAAAAGAATCTGTCATAACAATACGGCCATTTAATTGTCATTTGTACAACTTATCTAAATACTCATTTGTATACATTTAAGTGATAAAATCTGTTTTTTTTTCGCTAATTTACTATCAGATTATATTGGCCACTAACTGTATGAATATGAACTTAGGCGAATACAAAGCAAATGCCAGTTTGCTGCAATATTTTGCTCAAATCTATTAGTCAACTGCTAGCATATTACTATCTTATGTATTGAAATGAGTAATTACTAACAAGGGGAAGATATAGGTCCGTAGGTTCGGATTTGGCTGAATTTTAAATATGTTGTTCTACAATGCAAATTCGTGAAATAAAAATTTATTTAGGATTAATATAGCATTAATATTTATACAAAAAATATATTACCATAAAATAAATGGAAAAAAGCCGGTCTTGAACTCGAGACCTCCAGCATTCTAGTCGCTTGATTTACTGGCCCGTCCACGCGACTAAACTAAAAATTAACGTCTTATCGATTCGGTAGATTATACACGTGGCTCTTTTAAAAATTATTTAATTTCTAAACTAATGCACATTGGCAAGAGTTACTGCACCGTTTATTATGGGGGAGGAGGGGGATGTAGAACAACGTATTTAAAATTTAGCCAAATCCCAGCATATGGACCTATATCTTCCCTTTGTAAGTACCAGGTGATTTGTATTATACAAGATCCAGTAACGTAAGAAACAATCGAGTTATCTTACAGCAATATATTTATAGATGAAAAGAAAATACATAAACATTTTCTTAAAGAGTTAACAAAAGTATTAGATATTTGGCTAGATTTTAGGTCTCTTCTGAAATCAGTTGCGCATAAAGATGAGTAGATTTCTTTATGTGTTCACAGAATTATATGTACGTGAAGTTATGGGTACTTATCTTTTTGGGGATAGTGAATGGCTCACTATTTTGGAATATAGGCAACGATGCCTCCAGGGCCCTCTTCAACTTTGGCTTTTGCTTCGGATGCCAGATATATTTTCTGTATATACCTTTGCAACCGGTGCTACTGACTTGTAAGAAAACCTTCCCTGCACGTAAAAAAAATTAAAGATGATGTATAAGAAAATAAAACTTAGTTTCTTGATTGATCAACATTTTTTTTCTTGCTGATATTTCCGTGATATGACCGGTGTAAATCTAGCGCCCAACTTTAAAAAATTAAAAAATTATTTACACTTTAAGTTTGTACCTTGTTTGAAGCCTAACACGAATTTATTGTAGCCATTGGTCGTTAATTGCTAAAATTATATAGCCATGATTTATTAGGACAACAAAACGTATATTAAAGATATTATTTTTGAAATATTATTTCAAAATTGTAATATACATATACATGCATATACATATATATTCTATTTTTTATTATTTTCTTGTTTCAGTTCCTTCGGAAGTTAAATTAATGGCACGGGAACATTTCAACGGATGGTATAATCTTAGTGCATATTATTGGGCTTTAACAGTAGTCAGTATTCCTTTACAGGTTGGTCTTCTCTATAAATTGTGTTTATATGTATATATTGTGGATATATTTAATATAGCAGAATTTTTTTCTTTGAATAACTTTCGAATGGAATTTTTAGTTTTCTGGGCAAGAAATTGTTCCATGTGAATTATAGCTCCTGGTCTCATTATAGTTTCTATAGGAAGAGCTAGTTTCTAGAACTTTTTAACAAAGTGATTATATTCCATTATTTTCAATACATTAGATTTTCTGCTTGATTCTAATCCGCTTATTTATCCAAGCATTGTAAGAATTATTCTTGGTCTTTTTCCAGATAATTTTTGGATTTTGCTATCTCACAATAATCTACTTGATTACGGGACAACCCCTGGAGTTGCACAGAAGCTCCATATTCTTTGGCACTTGCTTCGTGTGTGCTTTCATCTCGGAGAGCATAGGACAAAACATTGGCAGCATGTTTAATCCTGTAGTATGTTCAAGATTGTATCACAAATACGGCACGAGAAGAAAAACTTTCCTAAGATTGATAAATACCTAATTTGTACTGTCCTTTAATAGAACAGTATGGTTATTGGGTCCATAATAAGTTGCCCTTTGATACTAACCGCAATACAAGATTTTGGTGTCGAAACAACCGGGCCTCGACCACTTTTTCGGACGATCTTCATGTATACGAGTCACCTTCGGTATGGATTGGAGGGTCTCACGACGGCTATATATGGATATGGTAGACAAAGAATACCTTGCCCAACAGAAGAATTTTACTGTCATTTCAGTTCGCCTAAGGAAATTATGCAAATAATAGGTAGGAATATAATGACTCGATATCTCGAAGGTTGCGGTCAGTCGCTCTGGTATCCCTTTAACCTGTTACACAAATCGCATGTGTTTTTTGTACTAATAACTTTCCGCATGCTTCATATCTCGATGATAATCTGTAAACGAATTTGTCTGCGTTCCAGGTATGGAGAGATCTCTCGATTTCTGGATGGACATATCTGCTCTTTTCATAATTTTATTTATTTCTAAAGGGATCACGTATTATTTTTTGAGGCAAAGAGTGCAACCAAACAAAACTTTCCAGATGTTCCAGGTAATAAGAAACTTATTCAAGAACCATTTCAACATATAATACTAAGTATACTTTAGTTTTGCTCGTATCATAATGTGTCGACATTATACACATTGCTCAATGCTCTCTAATTAACTTTACTAAGCGAATTTCAAAAATATTTGCAACGAAAGTACAAAATTGTCGATACAACAATATGTCAAACGTAATATAACTAAAACGAGAAGAAAAAAGTAGAATAATTTATATGAAAATCCATTAGACTTTTGCTAAATAAAACGAAGTGTGTAAGAAGAAATTGTCGATACAACAATATGTCAAACGTAATATAACTAAAACAAGAAGAAAAAAGTAGAATAATTTATATGAAAATCCATTAGACTTTTGCTAAATAAAACGAAGTGTGTAAGAAAATATTATGTGCTCCTATTTCTATCACCATATTGTCAAGAATAACATATTACATAAATATCGCGTCAAGGTAAGTGCGAGATGAGATAAAATATTTCTATATAGTTGTAAAAATGTGCATCTAAAGGGCTACCACCACGTTTAGTAGGTTCCTGGTAGAGGCCTGACTGTAAATTTAACGTCGAGAATTATAATTGCCTGATCAGGTTTTCCTTATCAAGACCTCATGACTTGCCCCTTGTTACGCCTTACAATTTCTAATAGGGGGTAGCAGAGTATCAGTAGGTTTCCTATTAAAAAAAATTTATGTCCTAAACTAATTTTTAAATTGTGTTAAATTTTATAGTCATCAGAAGTATATTCAAGTCATTGAAGTTTATCGATGACCCAGATAATCCGCTGTCGGATCATATCAGCTCGCCTCTTATACTAATACGGGATGATTTATACTTAAAAGAAAAAGACTAGCACGCGGTCGCCACGTCGCGGCAGTGAGTGGTACTAGTACTATATGTTCGGAGAATATAGGGGCATATACGAAAACTAATATACTGTACGAGATATTAAAATTATATCCCCAAAATATACATGAAAAATAATATACCACCAAAAACGTTATAGGAATATGATCAGTATGTTAAATATAGTGCGTTTATTCACAGTATGAGTATAGAATATTCTAATATCATGTGCTGTGTGGGATTTTCGTTTTATCCAACAGCCGTCACGTGCGTGTAAACTTCCCTCCAAATTAAAATTAATTTAAATTACTAGTGAAATGAAGGTCACACGCACCGCAAAAAACATATCTTGAAACGAATGCTTTCAATAACTGGTTTATATTTCATAGAGAACTAAGATGAGACAGCTACGCGAAATAAATCGATATTGGTGCAATGGCGTCACACCAATAAAATTCGGAAAGCATTCGTCCACGTTGAAGCACGTCAGTCACCTTTTCGTCCAAAGAACATGACTGACGTAAAAAAAATAACGTCAGTCGCAACTCGTTCGCATCATTCCGTATTTTTGTTGCGTAGCCTGCGACGCTGATTAAAAGTATATGACATTCACCGCGTATGGCTATCCCCGCGGCGTGACGAGGAAGCGCACGTTGCGAAGCCCATGTCGTACACGTACATGTACACTACCGGAGGGCTATATAGTTGGTGAGCCACCGTGGTATCTGAATCAGTCGACCGTTGTTACTGGTGGCGGTACGTCGAGCTCTATTGCGCTCGCGGTTTCTCTGTCACAGCAGTGTAATCGTGCCAATTGGCGAGCAACGTGAGTTCCGTGAATCGATACCACTGTATTTCTCAGCAATACAGACGCTGGGAAGTGTGAAAAATCAGGACAAACTTCGAGACAACGTTAAATGCATGTCAAAGCAATGATCCCTAATGCGCAGAATGTACCCATATACTCCCGGGGCGTTCCTCTATTCGCGAAAATTTCCGTCCATTCCAAAATACTTTCGCTTGAAATGCCGAGCGGCCACTAATCCTTCAGTCGAGAATAATTAAAGTTCGACGATTTTTTAGAAATTAATCTTTGGATATTGCAAGTGAACAACTATTGTGTGCTTTTTACTGTTCCAACAAACATCTGTGCTTTAAGATCGATAAATAAGTGGTGCGCAGTGTACTGCGAAAAATCGCACAGAAATATTGTTATTAGGCTAGACCAAGATTCAACCCAACTGAAAAATGACATCTTCTCCAACTAATTTTATTAGATTCATATTGCCCTTGGGAAAATATACCTCAGAAAACCTTAAAATTTTACTTTAGAAAAATAAGAAAAGTATATCTAGACACCTTTGACTTTTATTTGCGGTAAACTTAAAACTCACTTTAAGAGTTTAAAAGAAAACTTTAAGAATTGTGACAAGTATGTGATATAATTTATAATACCACGTGTGATTTTTTTCCTACGAGAAATGCCATGCCCCACGGTTCTCTAGCGAAAACGTCGATAGGCTTGGCTATTAAAATTATGTTTGCTGTCAAACATTTACGAATTTACGAACCAGTTATGCAAAGTTGAAATTTGACATACAAAATGACCGCGGAAGAAAAATCGTACACGCAAAGAGAAGCGAATAAAACTTATTAAACTTTGGCATTTTTTGTGCATGATAAATCACTCTAATATACATATTATGATTAAAGAGAAATATAATGTAAGCATGTGTGTAGGAAGCACTACAAGGCCAAAAACTTCGCATTAACGTTTGAAATTCTCATCGTTACTCTTTTTCCCTATGCGCGTGCAGGCAAAAATCCTAATCTTTCCGACTCCACAGCGTACATGTGCTGCTCTTCTGATTATTTAGTATCGCCTTGACCTAAGTTTTAGACCTAACGATACTTTATTTGACAATGACGCTACATGGACACGCGCATGCGCGCGCGCGCGTGTGTGTGTGTAGGTTCATTAGCTACAATTGGCCAACGTCGTGGATATTCGATCGAACGCGGTTAAAGTTCAATGTGCTACGTACGTCTTCCGTAAAGCCCGTGTCACACATACGAATTAAAGGTTGTACCGAAATTTGATCAATCAGAGTAAGGTTTATTAAAGAAATCAGCAAACTTCGCTCTGATTGGCCAAATTTCAATCTAATCTCAATCTAAATCGGTGATCTGGTATGAGCTTAATGGTGCATGCGCGTGACATAAATTTTCGGGATATATATATAACCGCCATTTATCTTGGCTGCTTATTACAATATAACAACAATATAACAACATTTAGATATTACGTTCCACACGTGACAATTGGCCAATAATCGTCCGTAGTAATGAATAGGGGTGTATCTTCGGGGAGGTAAACACTAAAACGCGCCACTTCTTAATTTTTGACGAGAAAAATAACGTGCTAGGAGTTGATCACGATTCGAACCTAGGATCTTCCGCTTGCCGAACGAATGCTCTTCCAACTGAGCTATCCAGGCCCCAAGGAAGATTTCGAAAGCAACAAAAAGACGAAAAAAAGGGACAAATAACAATCCATTTCCTTCTCGAGAGAAAGTATTCTGAAGACTGTAACACGCATGCTATTGTAACTTGCGAGAATAAAGAAACGTAGAACTCCGAACACTTCTTTTCACTTGTCGAGTGGAGATGACGATATTCAAGACTGTTATTTTCTCCTATACAATGTAACGCTGATGACCACGCTTACGGGCCCGCGTGACTTCGTTTTTCTTTCGAGTTACGTTAATATTCGTTCTTCTGTCCGTTTGATTTCAGTTTGGAATCGTTTTCCCGCTGATGCCGAACAATTCGTTGAATCGCGGAAGAAAGTGTCGCGTATGATAACAAACTGCTGAAAAGAAACCGTTTGCCAAAATTCCGTGTAGAAAAATCATCATGAGTCCTACTTCAGGAAACAACGTGAATGGAGTCGGTAACGGCATCCACGAGAATACAAAAGACACTACCTTCGACAACGGCAACGACACTATGTTGCATCTCTCCAGAATGGCTGCGGTAGACATTGAATTCAACGATGTGACATATTCAGTGAAGACTGCTCGAAGAGGTAACAAATTATTTTTTTAGAATTCATATACAAGAGACTTTTATATACATACACGATTAATATAATTAATTACCAAAATCTCAAGCTATTATTTAAATCTTAAGTTAGAATACCGTCTCTGCGAGCGAAATACAAGCGATAACCACAATGAAGTTCCATTTTTTAAGGTTGCCGCGATAACACTAGTGTCACATTATTGCGCTTACATACATGGCGAATTTGTTGACTCATTGGCAAGGCAACGACGCTATATGCAAAGATTTTTCCATGTACAACTTTTGTAGTACATATTTACAATGCCTAAGGAAATCAAATCGACCGCTGCATGTAAAATTCGATCGGCCATCCGATTGTGAATCGTCTGTTTTCTCTTTCTCTTCAACTACAAGCACCATATCGTTATTTACTTCAGACAGTCGGCCACTCCGTTCATCGTGCACATTTACGTGTCCTTTGTTAAAAAGGCGCACCTATATCCTAGTCATAGAATCACACACACACACACACACACACACACACACACACACACACACACACACACACACTTATTGCTTTTTTCTATAAATTAATAAAATTCGTACGGTTCAAATGATAAACACAAATTTAAAGGAATAATATTACCTCAAAAAACGCGAAAAATATTACCTCAGCCAGGGTTTGAACCTGGACCTTCCTTTCGCTAGGCATCTCAACCAATTCGACCACCGAGGCATATGGAAATATTCATCGCAATAAACAATCTAATGTTGTTTCCCGAATGCCACCTATTGTGACAGTATTCGAAAACGAGAAATGCGCGCCGACTTAAATCGCCAAGTCTTAAAACACAGTTTAATCATCCCTACAATATATTTTATTCTATAAGTTTCAATAATTTGACGGTGAATTTCTAATGGTTTAATGCGTCCCTCACATTCAAGAAACGGATCGTCGATCTAATTTTACAAGCGACGGCAGTGGCGCCAGAAATAAGACGCAGCCTCGTCGGACACAAGATTTAAGGGGACGTTTAGCGCGACGCCGATTGGCGCTGAAAGCGTACGGACGTGGGCTCTTCTTTGTTAAGCATCTCCTCTATCTCGTATCCGACGGGGCCGCGTTTAATTTCTTGCATCACTGCGCGGTGGGCAATTTGATTTCCTCGGGCATTGTAAATATGCACTACAAAATTTACACACGGAAAAACTGTTTGCACATAGCGTCGTTGCTGTGCCAATAGGTTTGTCTTTTATCCCTGCACTGGTGAATTAATGCAGTAAACTAGAATGAGAAAAAATATGCTTGCCTTACTCTAATTTATTGCACTAGTTCAGTAGTGTAGGAACAGAAAACAAGCCTAATGGATTAACAAATTCGCCGCGCAAGCGCAATAATGCTAGTGCTATCGCGGTAATATGAAAAAATGGAACGTACTTTGAGGATATCTACGAGGGATACCTCGTAGATAACTAATTCGTTGCGCGGCATAGGGCCACTATTTTCAACGTCTGTTAATTCTAACCGACCGTTAACTTCCAATTTCTATTGGCTATTCTAATTAACAGTCAATTCCTATCGGCTATTCTATTGCAGGGGTGGGCAGTTTTCACTGCCCGCGGGCGCCCGTTTGCCCGCAGGCAATAGCTGTGCGTGTCGGGCAATAGTGGGGAGACAGTTTCGGCAAGTGGGAAAGAACGTCGCGCTTTAGAAGTATAGTTCCGAATATGATTGTAGACGTGGTGGGGCGATGATTGGAGTGGGGGCATGCCCGCCGGCAGGGCGCCCGCGGGCGCTCGCGGGCGCCCGTTGCCCGCGGGCAGCATTTTGCCCACCCCTGTTCTATTGTAAAAAGTTAACGTTCGGTTAGTTATTATTAACAGCTAACAGACGTTGGAAATAGTTGCCCATAGTCTTCTTTCTTTGGAAATTCGCTAATCAACTTCACTTCAAGATTAATATATAATTAATATAATTAGCACTAAAAAATTTGCATTATTTAATACTTTAAACCGGAATAGTTTCTTCGCATGTAAGGTAGCTTCATAATGCAATATGGTCTTCTTTTGGAGAAAGTGATAATAATCACCTTCTAAGAATATAGTTTCATATGTTTTTATTATAATTAACGATATAAATATTGAGATATTTAACACTTTAAGCCAAAATGGTTCCTTTGCGTGAGAGATAAATAATTTCGCAATGCCGCAGTCTTTTTTCTGAGAACCTGGTTCCAGAATTCACCAATTACTTCTATCTACCGATAAAATACATATAATAAATAGCAAGTTTCATGAAATAAATACGTGTTAATACATTATGTTGTATAAAATTCATTACGTTTCTAGTATGTTTTACACAAATGATTAATAATTTGTCTCGTTATATCGTAGACCAATTATAGATCGTGATTTATACTGTAGATAATAATTAAAAATATTCCTTATATCATCAAAACATTTATTTCCGATAAGAGTATAATAATACGAACACACTAACGTGCACTTGCTGGAGTTATATTGCTTATCAATATAAACATTCTTATGTCCCACACAGCAAAACAAGTTTCAGGAAGCTTTCCGAAAGATAACTTGGAAATTAATATTGAAATGTAACATTGAAATCATTCATAAGTATTTCTGAAACGTTTTATCGAAATCATTTATGATCCTTCTCACTGAAATATTTCAGAAATATTACAAAACATTACAGAGAAATATTTCGTACGTAATCTCTAAAACATATATTATTGAAAGCTATCCAACATATAACTTGGAAATTAATATTGAAATGTAATATAGAAATTATTCAGAAATATTTCTGAAGTATTTAAAGGTGCGAACAAACGGCGAACGAACAGCGAATTAGACAGATGTGTACACCACAGCGAATGCGAACTGAACTATCGGTAGTGTTCGATTCGCCTTCGGTCCGAGTCGAAAGTTCGTGCGCAGTATGGACGGGATTCGTTGATGTTTCGCTATTCGCTGTTCGCTGTTTACATCTGTGGTTGAAAGCGAGTTTTTTTTCTTTTTTAGCAAACCTGCAAGTACTATTAACGATGCACTTGCAATAATAATTGTATTGTCTGCCATTTCTATTTACATTATATTTGGTTAGATTTGATAGCGAATATCGAATATGTGGCGAACGCTTTTGAATGCGAACGTTCGATACAAAGAAGAGAACTAACGAATGAGTCACGAATACGAATACGAACGTCCGAACATTCGCGTTCGCCGTTCGTTCGCCGTTTGTTCGCCATAATGTATACGCATCAGTGATGTAAATTCCGATTTTTTTGCAGCACGATGTGGTCGGAGAGGGGATAACGCACACAAGCGAGCAGCCGTGTCCGTGTGCGCCCGGCGCCGCGCCGGGCATGCGCCGGGCGCACACGGATACGGCTGCTCGCTTGTGTGCGTTATCCCCTCTCCGACCACATCGTGCTGCAAAAGAATCGGAATTTGCATCACTGATACGCATCTTAAGAGATATTTCCGACGCATTTCAGAAATATTTCCGACGTATTTCAGAAATATTTACGAAGCATTTAAGAGATATTTCTGAAGCATTTCAGAAATATTTCAGAAACATTTATGATATCTCATCTACGCGGACATTTCATGTATCTGAAACATGTCTGAAATATTTTTTTGAAAGGTTTCATATTTCATTGACAGCTTTTTGAGAGCTTTCTGAAATATTTCGGTGCTGTGTGGGGTATGTACATTAATAATCTAATCTTAAAAGTAGCATCTCGTAATTAGTGTAATCTCACTGCAACATTTTCGAGACGCAAAAGTTTTCTATATACCTGCCAATTTGCTATTCTCTCGTTGTATAATCTATCGTAAATTGCAATTGCTTGAAATTGCTTTGCAACTCGTATGAATCATCGTGATGCAAATATATAATTAAAAATCACTATTATTTTAATTGCTTTTTCATAAGTGCTATTGTATTTGATAAAACGATAATTGAAGCGTGTGAACAATATGCAATCTGGAGACATGTTATGTCGGAAGTGTTATATACACTGGTCAAAAAAATTAACGCAACAAGAAATTTACATCAAAATTTGGCGAATTTCAAATAAGCGTCACTTCGCGAAAACTGGTCGAATTGAAAAGTTTTTTTCATTTTATAGGGCAAAGCCTCTGCTTTAAGAAGCTCTTATTGGAATTTGCATTCACTCTTCTCATTTCCCGGAACTTTCTCAAAATCATAACCATGTTTTTTCTTTAAAAAATTGTACACTTTGACGCACTGTGCGGAGTGTAGTAATTTTTCTTCGCTAGTTCTGCTTACGGTATCAAAAAGTGTATACATTTCTCTTCAATTTAAAAAAAAAGAAGTTCCTACGATTTTTTTCGCCAATTCACAGCTCATTGAAATAACCCTTGTGTTTTCGACATTACCGATGATATCTCCGTTAAAAATCATCGTAGCAAGACCGTTTTTTTTTTAATTAAAGCTTGCACTTTCAGCTTCGAAAACTAGTCACCAGATTTTTCCTCGAATGCATCTGCGCTGCTGTAGCTTTTAAAATGTAAGGACATGTTTTTACCTAAAAACTAACCAACTTTGGCCAGGTGCCTGGGTGTAGGAAATTTTTCCTCGTTAATTCTGCTCGAAGTATCAAAAAGTGTGTACTTTTCCCTTCAATTTAAAAAAAAAAGAAGTTACTGCGATTTTTTCGCCAAGTTACAGTTTTTTGAAGTAATCCTTGTATTTTCGTTCATTACCGTCGACATCGGCGTAACCCAATGTGCACGTGGAGGTTGCCGTTCGGATTTTGCAGTTCGTGTGACCCTGAAGAGGGCCAGTGGTGTATTCATATCGAACATACTGGGATATGATGGGAAGAAGGCTGC